GTGGTAATTCTGTTATCCAAGTTTGGGACTTATATTGATTAAGTAATAAAATTTAAAATTATGCCATAAAAGGATTTTGATTTTAATCCAGGCAATAAAAATATTATTATATTATGAGCCATACAAACGATTGCCTCTTGTGGCTATTAAAACTCTTAATTTAGTATTACAATAATAGTTGTCAGCCGGTTTACAATTACAGGATTTCTAGTCCATAAACAAGAATTACGCCTAAACCCTATAGGCACCACTATCACAACTATTTTAATTTAATTTTTCTGATATATATATTTATAGCCCAATTGGGATTAAGACCATTTTCCACGGTTATTTATTACTTTTGAGCATATTCAATTAGGATATTATTCAAATTTTGTTACCCAATAAAGAAGCTGATTTACTTTTGCTCGAAACTAAATTCCAAATTATTACGTCGAACAAGTTTGTGTTTTGCTGCCCGATGCTTGAATATTTAATTTAAAAATATTTTTTACCAGTGGCGTTTCAACTTTAAGATATTATCAGATTATTTTTTGCATTTTTGCCGAAATTAAACATAGCTAATTTAATAAATTTTAAATTAAAATGTGGTTTTAGATAGCGTAACGATTTTTGTGAAATAAAATATGTTGTGGTGTGATTTTATATTTTATTGAAAACCTGATGAAGAATAGACAGAGACGTAACGCGGTGTAAATTTTTTGAAGTATTTTCCGAGGTTTCGAACATATACAGCCCGTTCATATTAAAACCGAATATATCTATATATATATGGGGCGTGGCCTCGCCTCCCTCCAACGCGCGACACAGTAGCTAAGCAAATAGACTGCATCGCTAATGAGATTTTTTGCATTATTATCATTTAATTTTTTAAGTCCTTACCTGCTCGACCTTTCGTCATGTCGTTTATCACACAAGCTACTGTGACGCGCCGAGGGAGGCGAGGCCACGCCCCATATATATATATATAGATATATTCGGTTTTAATATGAACGGGCTGTATATAATATATATTCAAATAGGAATAAAATTTCGATGATTTAAAAAAAATCGGTATTCAGAAAATTATTTAGTTAAGTTAAGATAATTCGTTTTTTGTGAATTCGGAGCATTTTCTAAAGTTTTATTAGCTGCCGATTACAGCTTCAGCTAATGCCGACTAATAGTTTTTCATTTATTTTGTGAAGTCATATAGACTATAGTCTCTAAAAATGAATTAGTCAAAAATGACTAATTTAATAGTTATTAGTGGCTGCTTTTTCACTTGTACCATGCTTAACCATGGAATACCATGGTATCCCAAAATTTAACCAATTCTTATGTAAAATTGTCTCCTGAATCCGAAAATGTCGTCAAAAATTAAAAAAGTAGAACAGTTTATGAGATATAGTCAATTTTCCATTTAACATGGAATTGACTATATCTCAAAAACTGCTCCACTTTCCTAATTTTTGACGGTATTTTTGGATTCTGGGGACAATTTTTCATAGGAATTGGCTGTTAAATTTTGGGATACCATGGTATTCCATGGTTAACCATGGTACAAGTGAAAAAGCAGCCACTATAGTGGCTATAATAACTATTAAATTAGTCATTTTTGACTAATTCATTTTTAGAGAGTTAAATTAGTTAGTTTTAACTAATTCATTTTTAGAGAGTAAGGATTATTCGGCAAATTCGCGATTTTTTGTGAAAAATCGAGAATGATTGAAAGTTTTTTAGTAATAATAATATATATTGTATACAATTTGCGGTGAGTTTTCAGAAACTCGGTTGGTTTTCTTTTTAATTTTTTAGTCACTCACACTCACAATATTTTAATGCTGCTAAAGTAAATTTGAATATGTCAATAAATTTTTTCTTTCGTCATGTTTGATGATTTTGTAAAATTTTGTTCCTACCTATACAAATTTCGTCAAATGTATGACTTTTTAAAAGTTGGTCTCAATTAAAGGAAAATCGTAAAAAATTTCAGGAATCACTCGAAAGTGCAAATTCTCGAACTAATAACGAAATTTTACAAAATTATCAAACATGACAAAAGAAAAAATTTATTTATATACAATATAATAATAATATATTATTTGCCTCGCTACTCCATTGATCTTCAGACCTCAGACTAAGCAGTGCCATTAATGTTCAAACAAATTATTAATCTTAAAAATAAGCATTCTTGATATGCCACTGGTTTTGACAAATAAATAAAGATTGAAGTTTATAGAAAACGGCTTCTTCACACACATATTATGTATGTACACGTTGAAAAAGTGGTGTGAATGAAAATCTCTTAACTGAATAAATTAAGAAATTGCTAGAGCGTTAAATCGCGTTGATTTAATATTTATAAGATTCTTTCTAGTTACGTGTCAAAGATGTTTTATAACATAAAAACTAATTTGGTTTTAATAAAGGTAATTAATTTTGTTTTTTTTGTTAACATGACTCCATCTTGCTAAGGTACCTACTTATTAATGATTTATTTTTAATATCTACAAATTTTTATTATTTGAATTAATTAAGTTCATATGATTACAGTTTAATAAGTAAATTATTAAATATATTATAAATAATTGACGTTAATCCTAATATATGTATACATATCATTACCTGAAAATTAAAAAAAAAACAGAAAAAATCATAAATAATCCAATAACTCCAATTAGTCACTAAAACAAATAACCGAATTTTAAAAACTGTATTAAAATAATAATTATAAATTTACGAAACCAGATAACAGTAATAAATTAAAAACAATTTTAATTAATCATTCAAATACGAATGTGTACGCCCATTGGCTATCGAGGGAAAAAGAGAGAGAAACAATCATTAATTAAAATAGTTAATTAAAATTTAACATTTTAATTAAATTTAATTTGAACATGTGAAGTTAAAATAGCTTTTAGGTGTTTGAATGTTTAATATCTTTAACACGCAGATAAACGTAATGGGATTCCTATGTGCCTGGTGGCATTTCTGCTGTTCGAAATTCATTATAATTTATATAAGATATGGAAACTTTAACTATAAATTACTAGGTTTGGATTAAAATTATAACACAATAAATGCCAAGATTGAATAAAAAGGTGTTATATACTGTTTCCTTAATAAACGCAACACAAAAGTCCCGTCCTATAGATTATCAGGTAGGAATTTCCTATTGTACACCATATATTATAATACCAAAATTATTTAAATTTAAATGTAATTTTTTATATAATTTTTATATTTTTAATTTTATTATATATTTTTGTTTAATTTAGGTTTATTTTAGCGTTAATTTAAATAAATTTTTCCTGGGATTACCATATTCTCTTTTTTTATTTTTGATATATTTAATATATATAAATTTTATACTTAAGTAGGTATTTAGTGTTGGAATATTATTATTTTTTAAAGAGGACTTTAAAAATCACGGTTTTTATTTTTTGTATAGCTAATTTTAAGCAATCTTTGTAGATCTGACAGTAGTCGATTGTTTTGATTGGTCTAAACTATTTTTTCAGCCTGGGCGATAATCAATTACTTTGAAGATAAAATAAACTTAATGACACCAAAATAAATTAAGTATTAAAATTACAAATGATACAATTTTTTTTTGCCAAAATAAATACCTATAGGTATAATTTATATATTATATTATATTATATTATATTATATTATATTATATTATATTATATTATATTATATTATATTATATTATATTATATTATATTATATTATATTATATTATAATAAAAAAATTACCATTTTTTATATAAAAATTTATAAAAACTCTTTCAATAGTACCTAGGTACTTTTTATACTTAATATATATAGGTATTATAATATATTATTTTATTATTAGGTATTTTTATAATTATGTAAGTACTTCAAATTTCGAAAATAAAATAAAAAATAGTAAAAGTATTTGTAATTTTGATACTAAATTTGTTTTCGTGTCATTAAAAATATAAATTAGGGCCTTTTTTCTCCTTAAACGTTAAGAAATTATATTTTGAACCTTTTATTTTATGATTTATTTTAATTTTAAATATCCATACCTAGGTGGGTACTATTATTTATAGATCAATTTAGACTAGTCCTTATGTTTATAGAGGGGGTTAATTAATTTTTTTGCAGAAAAGGTTTTAAATTTAAGTCTTGACTTAAATTTAGCTATTACTATTGAAAGCAATTTTCTGCGGTTTAGATTGATGAATTCTATAAAATTTATTATACATACCTATAGGTACTTACCTACTAATTTTAAAAACATATTTAGCTATAGCTATATATAATATATTAAACTGACTACATTTTAAAATTACTTTAATTTAATTTATTTTAATTAGGAATTAGGAATTAATTTACCTATTTGAATTAAGAATTAATTTATTTTAATTAAGAAATATTGAAAAATAATAATTATAATTAGGTATAGAATTTTGATTTTAAAGAACTCATAAAATATATTTTTTATAAAACCACTTTGGTAACCCATTTAAATAAAAACAATAAAATTAATTTTAATAATTTAATTTCGCAGAGATATTGTAAATAAAATTAAATTAGGCACTTCCCTGCTGTAAATTTTTTTAAGCTTTAATTAACAAAAATTTTAATGTGTTTTAATTATATTTATATCTGTAATGTCCATAATACATGTTATACTTGTTCTAATGTCTGTTAAACGTATATTTTTATAATTTTGAGGTAAACCCTGAAGATGGGCGAAACCGGTCGGTTATTAAAATAAAATAAAAAAATTTACAGCAGGGAAGTGCCTAATTTAATTTTATTTACAATATTAAAATCCCACTTCTAAAATGGATTATACAATTAAACGTTCGCAGAGATAGATAGATCTATTTTAATGGTTTTTCTGATTTTTATGTTGATTTTATCATGTAGGTATTTGATTAAAACTAACCATCTCCTTAAATTTTTTACCGTCGGACATTACATATCCTCACAAATCGATCAATTAAAAAACTTAAAAACCAAAATATCAAAAAATTTACCTTTTCCATGCGTTTCGCTGCCGCTATCCTCCGAAGGCGGTCCTGGAGGGGCCCGCATGCCGGGCCCCAGGCCCGGTGGGTACCTCGGCCTGTTCAAAGGCGAAAAAGCTCCAGGCATACCTAGTAAAGTGGCGGCGCCCGGAAATTGTAACAGGGGCGCCCAGGGCGGTCTGGGCGCCAAATGGGCCGCCGCCGCCGCATATAATTGCAACGGGGGCGGCAATACACCAGATTCCAGCACCATTTTTCTGAAAATGTCCGCTTGATCGTAACGCAACAGTTTTAATCCTTTTCGAACACTTAAACACAAAACTTAATCCATTGTCCACATCTAAACATTTTTAACAATATTATCTGCGATATATGATGACGATTTTTATTGTTTCTATGGTTCTTAATTATTATAAATCCACATTATTTTCACTTGTTGACACTAAACATAACAACACAATTTAATTCGCGTCGATTTTGCCCCATGTGTGCCAAAAATCAAGTTAACTATGACTATGTGTTGCTTTCTATCGAGTTGGCGGTTTACTGAGCTTTGGAAAGCGTGGTGTGCTGAGCAAAGGGCGTAACAGTGATCTCCTGCTGTTTTCCGAGTCTCTCATTGGTCGAATTCCCCTACGCCTACTCGTGACTCCGCCCCTAAGTAGCAGAATATCATTATTGAGGGATGGGGTGATGTCAATATGTCGTTGTTATTTATTGTTTTGGGTTTTGATGTGCTTTCGGTGTGTAGTTGAATCTGCTGGATGTTTTATTATTTTTTGATGGATGGATGTGGTGGATTTTTGTGATTTATTGTTAATTACACGTTCTTTTTTTCGTTTTGATATTATTATTCGGCATTATGGGGCATTTTTATTAATGCTGCGTTTTTTTTTATTTTAATATTAAGTGGCAAATTTAGAACGTCAAAATTAATTTTTGTTTGTTTTTTTTTTTAAATTTCACGCATACATATTTTTGCAATATTTTATTTGTTTAAAATTTAAACTTTAAATGTCCAGTTTAAAAGTTAATCATTGTATGTAGATACATTTTAATTTATTTGGGTAATACACAAAACAAAGAAAATCATAATTTTTTAGTAAAAAGAAACAAAATAAAAATTGCTGCGTTTTTTTATTTTAATATTAAGTGGCAAATTTAGAACGTCAAAATTAATTTTTGTTTGTTTTTTTTTGAAAAAATTTCCTGCAGACATATTTTTGCAATATTTTATTTGTTTAAAATTTAAACTTTAAATGTCCAGTTTAAAAGTTAATCATTGTATGTAGATACATTTTAATTTATTTGGGTATTACACAAAACAAAGAAAATCATAATTTTTTAGTAAAAAGAAACAAAATAAAAATTGCTGCGTTTTTTTAATTTTAATATTAAGTGGCAAATTTAGAACGGCGAAATTAGTTTTTATTTGATTTTTTTTTTTAAATTTCCTGCAGAAATATTTTTGCAATATTTTATTTGTTTAAAATTTAAACTTTAAATGTCCAGTTTAAAAGTTAATCATTTTATGTAGATACATTTTAATTTATTTGGGTATTACACAAAACAAAGAAAATCATAATTTTTTAGTAAAAAGAAACAAAATAAAAATTGCTGCGTTTTTTTTATTTTAATATTAAGTGGCAAATTTAGAACGGCGAAATTAGTTTTTATTTGTTTTTTTTTTGAAAAAATTTCCTGCAGACATATTTTTGCAATATTTTATTTGTTTAAAATTTAAACTTTAAATGTCCAGTTTAAAAGTTAATCATTGTATGTAGATACATTTTAATTTATTTGGGTATATTACACAAAACAAAGAAAATCATAATTTTTTAGTAAAAAGAAACAAAATAAAAATTGCTGCGTTTTTTTTATTTTAATATTAAGTGGCAAATTTAGAACGGCGAAATTAGTTTTTATTTGTTTTTTTTTTTTAAATTTCCTGCAGACATATTTTTGCAATATTTTATTTGTTTAAAATTTAAACTTTAAATGTCCAGTTTAAAAGTTAATCATTGTATGTAGATACATTTTAATTTATTTGGGTATTACACAAAACAAAGAAAATCATAATTTTTTAGTAAAAAGAAACAAAATAAAAATTGCTGCGTTTTTTTTATTTTAATATTAAGTGGCAAATTTAGAAGGGCGAAATTAGTTTTTATTTGTTTTTTTTTAAATTTCCTGCAGACATATTTTTGCAATATTTTATTTGTTTAAAATTTAAACTTTAAATGTCCAGTTTAAAAGTTAATCATTGCATGTAGATACATTTTAATTTATTTGGGTATTACACAAAACAAAGAAAATCATAATTTTTTAGTAAAAAGAAACAAAATAAAAATTGCTGCGTTTTTTTTATTTTAATATTAAGTGGCAAATTTAGAACGGCGAAATTAGTTTTTATTTGTTTTTTTTTTGAAAAAAATTCCTGCAGACATATTTTTGCAATATTTTATTTGTTTAAAATTTAAACTTTAAATGTCCAGTTTAAAAGTTAATCATTGTATGTAGATACATTTTAATTTATTTGGGTATTACACAAAACAAAGAAAATCATAATTTTTTAGTAAAAAGAAACAAAATAAAAATTGCTGCGTTTTTTTTATTTTAATATTAAGTGGCAAATTTAGAACGGCGAAATTAGTTTTTATTTGTTTTTTTTTGAAAAAAATTCCTGCAGACATATTTTTGCAATATTTTATTTGTTTAAAATTTAAACTTTAAATGTCCAGTTTAAAAGTTAATCATTGTATGTAGATACATTTTAATTTATTTGGGTATATTACACAAAACAAAGAAAATCATAATTTTTTAGTAAAAAGAAACAAAATAAAAATTGCTGCGTTTTTTTTATTTTAATATTAAGTGGCAAATTTAAAACGGCGAAATTAGTTTTTATTTGTTTTTTTTTTAAATTTCCTGCAGACATATTTTTGCAATATTTTATTTGTTTAAAATTTAAACTTTAAATGTCCAGTTTAAAAGTTAATCATTGTATGTAGATACATTTTAATTTATTTGGGTATTACACAAAACAAAGAAAATCATAATTTTTTAGTAAAAAGAAACAAAATAAAAATTGCTGCGTTTTTTTTATTTTAATATTAAGTGGCAAATTTAGAACGGCGAAATTAGTTTTTATTTGTTTTTTTTTTGAAAAAAATTCCTGCAGACATATTTTTGCAATATTTTATTTGTTTAAAATTTAAACTTTAAATGTCCAGTTTAAAAGTTAATTATTGTATGTAGATACATTTTAATTTATTTGGGTATTACACAAAACAAAGAAAATCATAATTTTTTAGTAAAAAGAAACAAAATAAAAATTGCTGCGTTTTTTTTATTTTAATATTAAGTGGCAAATTTAGAACGGCGAAATTAGTTTTTATTTGTTTTTTTTTGAAAAAAATTCCTGCAGACATATTTTTGCAATATTTTATTTGTTTAAAATTTAAACTTTAAATGTCCAGTTTAAAAGTTAATCATTGTATGTAGATACATTTTAATTTATTTGGGTATTACACAAAACAAAGAAAATCATAATTTTTTAGTAAAAAGAAACAAAATAAAAATTGCTGCGTTTTTTTTATTTTAATATTAAGTGGCAAATTTAGAACGGCGAAATTAGTTTTTATTTGTTTTTTTTTGAAAAAATTTCCTGCAGACATATTTTTGCAATATTTTATTTGTTTAAATTTTAAACTTTAAATGTCCAGTTTAAAAGTTAATCATTGCATGTAGATACATTTTAATTTATTTGGGTATTACACAAAACAAAGAAAAACATAATTTTTTAGTAAAAAGAAACAACATAAAAATTTTTGTAAAATAATTCAAAATATTGCGTTGAAGCAATGTTTAGATTTTTGTTTTATTTTAATTAAAATTCAAGTACCTATAATTTATAAATAAATTGACAAATAAATAAATAATAACAATCCAAAAACATCCTTGATTAAAAATAAAATTATTAAATTATTACCTAAATAGGTATGTAACAAAATACAAAAAATGATTTTTTTACGTGCAAAATAATTTAGTACCTACCTATAAAATACTTAATACTCGGAAATAAGAGATAGGGGCCAGTCAATGTTTGATATTTAAACTACAAAAAAGAATATAAAACTCAATAATAAGTGTTAGGTAGGTATTTAAAAAGAACATTAGTGATTTTTTTTTGATTGATTGATATTAATTATTATAAAATTAGTTTCTTTTTTTCATTTTAGTTGTGGATATTTTGTTACTAAAAATAAAACGTACTACCTAAATTTTCTTTGTTGCCCTTAAAAATAGCATTGGACTTTTGTATCACCCTGTATTCATTAGTTATTTACTGGCCAGCTATTGATTCACTCTCGAATATCAGGAAGTTATTTTCATGGTTTTCGAGTGTCACTTCCTCGATTGAGGTCCATTAAATGGAACGCCATCAAAATAGACACATTAACTTCAATATCCGGAACACTTACATCCACTTTTAAGAGCCGTGCACACAATAAAACGTAATTTAAGACGGAATGACTTAACTTTAACTTTCCTTTAAGAATGATAAAGTTTACTCTTTGTATCGTATTTCATCTAATGATATTTACCTATTGTTAGGTGATAAATTTCTATAAGAATCAACTATAATTAATCAATAGTAAAAGATTGCCCATTTTTTGTTAAATATTGTTTTGTTTATCATAATATTATCATAACAATATTATTGTTAAAATAAAGTCTTTATAAAATATACCTATTATAATATCTATATAATAAAAATATAATTTTTTAAACAAAAATTACGTATATGCGTCTAAAAGAAAATTATTTTAACGTTTATATGCCTATATTAATAAAAAAAGTAGGTATCAAAAGTGTGTGACAATGGCTATCAAAGACCTGTAATGTACTAGTAGGTACAGGGGCCAATTTTAATCTACAGGAGGAATTGCATTAAATTGTTTTTTTTCATAAATATTAAAATAAAATATTCTTTATTTAGCAATAGATGAAAGTGACAACACCTACAAAATATATACAATATAGGTGTACACTGTTAAAACGATTTAGTGATTTTACGTAAAATTACGGTCTAATTATGTTACAAGTTACAGTTCATAAGGAAATTTTCCTTTAAAAATATTGTATTTTTTTCGTGTATAGTAATGTAATTTTAACCCTATTTTTAAGAGTGTAGGGTACAGTATTTAAACCTTCTCTAAGCAGAAAGGCAATTTTCCTGATTTAAAATGATCCAAGGCCAAGGAAAAATAAAATATAAACCAAAATATTATGTGGGCTTGACATTTTTAAAGACTTTTAGACTACCCATACTATAATATATTAAAAAAAAAAACAACTTTAAATCAGTGAACATTACCAAACTGTCAAACTATTTCATATACTTAAACAATTTTACTTCAATAATAATTCATTTGTTCTATTTTAATTCTTAATTAGTTTGCAGTTATCTTCAAATTTACTGGCTGATTATTTTATAATTTTAATCCTTTATTAAACAGTGATTTTTTACATATTTATA